ACAACCCCCCCCCCCTTTTAATTTAGAGTCCCCCTTTCACATCAGAAGCTCCCTTCGCACCATGCAACATGGCAGAAGGCATAAGATGGAGCAGGTTTGGGCGGAGGCAAATTTCCATCCTTTTCTGAATGGATCCCACCCTCCCTGGATTAGCATTATTTGTTTTCATAGTGCTAACCGCAGGCCTACCTGTACCATGGAAAAGCATGAAACAAAAAATCCCGCCACTCACCATCTCAGGATCGGCCAGTGGGTGAGAAATAAAAAGTCTGCCAATGGCTATTCCAAATTGAATAGCTTATAGTAGGCTGGCTATTGCACCCGCCCAATGCTTGATGTGAATCCGCAGAGGAGGACCTTAGAACTTTCTCTCTCAGGTCCGCTCCTCTGTGGGAACAATAGCCTGTTGCCTATTTCGAAATTGCAACAGCCAATAGCAGGATGGCTCTCAGGTTCGCTCCTCTGCAGATTGACAGCAGGCAGTGGACGGAAGCAATAGAACTTTCTCTCTCAGGTCCGCTCCTCTGGTGATTGACAGAAGGCAGTTTGCAGAGCAGTAGCCATCTTGCTATTGGCTATTGCAATTTAACATAGACAATAGCGGGACGGTTATTGCTCCTACAGAGGAGCGGACCTGAGAAAGAAAGTTCTCTCTCAGGTCCGCTATTGGCTATTGCAACTTGAAATAGCCAATAGCAGGATGGCTATTGTTCCTGCAGAGGAGCGGACCTGAGAGGACACAGTTTTTTGTATTAATGCAATGAAATGAGTCTTTTTTTAAAAACCCCATCCAATTGTACAATCAGATTTTATAGTGTTTGGTTAGTTTAAAACTGAAATGTTTCATTGAAATATATTCCTCAATAGCCACAAAGAATAAAAATCTAACCAACCCACTTTTTACTAGGGATGCACCGATACCGGTTTTTGGTATTGAGTATGAGTACCGATATTTATCTTTCGGTACGCGCTGATACCGAGTATCAAAATCGATACTTCTGCTAGCATGGAGCCGGGCGTCATGCCATTACCGCCGCCCGACTTCTTGATTGCCCGGGAAGCTGGCTCAATGCTGATTGGCGGGAAGCCGGTTTCATGTTCCCTCGCAGCACTGCCGGTCAGAGGAAATCTCCCTCTGACCGGAAGTAAGTATCGTAGCATTTGGGCGAGTACGAGTACTCACCCAAATACTCAGTATCGGCACTGATACTGATACTAGTATCGGTATTGGTGCATCCCCACTTATTACCTTAGCAGTGACATGATCACTATGCAGCACATAATCTGTATAGAGATGTGGGAGGGACCCAGAAGTCTGGGGGAGGATACAAGTTCCCTTGCACAAGGAGAGAGAGCAGCAGTGACCAGTCTTTATTACAGGAAGCTCCTGCAAAGAGGTAAGGTTTCACACTGGATTACTGCACAGATCTGGAAGAAATACACAGAGCACTCAAAGATTCAAGTAAGAATACACATGTATATCATTTTTATTTTAGACCCTAGATCAAAAATGTGCAGCCACCCCACACTGCAAGGGTTCATTTTTTTTGTTCTTTAAGGACCCATTTAGAGCTATGCTGCCAGTGTACAGCTACAACGGACCTATAATTGGGCCTTCACAATTTTTTCCAGTGCACTAAAGCACAAGCACAGTAGGGTGTTATCGTGAGTTGTGGTGAGCTTCAAAGCAGGTGTGTTGGTTTATTGCGTTGGGCCTCCATTCAACATCAATTGTGTCACACTGCGGTACATGAATTGCAAAAACATAATCAAACATGTAAAATACATAGATGTAAAAAGGCCTTATGACCAGGTTTACACTGCTACAGTGAGTAACCACAAACACTTTAACACGTGATACGATAAGCAGACCATTCATTTTGAATGGGCTGCTAATGCACCACAACATACTTTTTTAATGCACATCCACCTATTTTTTTTCTAGCGCATCACAACAGACATGATATTCACATCTGTAAATTGTGCTATGCTAAGATCCAGGTCCATTGCTGTAATGTGCAGTGTGTTCCAGTAGCATTCATATAAACAAAGACGTGAATAGACATGATGGTAGGTGAAAGGGCCCCTGTCTGTACTGGCCCTAATATGTGTTCATATGAAATAGGGACCTTAGATTGTAAGCTCTTCTAGGGCAGGAACTGATGTAAATGTGCTCTATGTAAAGTGCTGTGTAAATGATCAGTGCTATATACTGGTAATAATGGTGGGGGATGAGCTGATTGAGGGAGTAGCAGGACAAATTAAGGGTGAGGGTGGGATAGGCTTCCCTGAAACGATTAGTTTTTAGGTGGAAAGAGTCGGAGATAGCTGGAGAGATTGGGGTAGAGAGTTCCAAAGGATGGGAGACACTCGAGAAGTCCTGGAGGTGAGCAATGGAAGAAGTATTGAGGGGGCGACAAGCAGTGACGTCACAAAGGCGGGGGGTGGGTGCGGCCAGGGCCGGATTAACTCTCTCTGCTGCCCCAAAGCCTGGTTCTTCAATGTGCCCCCCAACCCGCCAACTTCCCCCATGGAGAATGGCAACCAGATGGCGGGGATGGCAGGGTTTTAATTTTTTTTCTTTTTTCTTTATTGTTGTTTTAATTTTTTTTTACTTTTTAATCTTTTTCAATGTTTATTTATTTTTTTGCTTTTTAAAATTTGTATTAATCTTATTATCTTTTCTTTTTAATTGTTTTATAATTTTTTTACTTTATTCATTTTCTTTAGCACTTTTTATGTTTTTATTTTAAATATTTTTTTTCTTTTTCTTAGTTTTTTCTTTTTTTAATTATTTTTTACTTTTTATCAATTTTTATTTTATTTGTTTTCACTTAACTTTATTGCTATTACACACATTCTCTTTATGGAACCTGTCACCTCTAATACAGGTGTTCTAGCACAGTACTGTGCCGGAATTGCTGTGACAGCTGCGAGTACAGCTCTCCCCTCTCACTGTTTACACGGATCAGAGTGGAGAACAGAGCGTTCTCCGCTCTGCTCCCCACCATGAAGTGATTGCTGTGGTCCCTGGTCCCCCAGAAAAGCGGGAGACACCGAAAACCACGGTGGGGACAGAGGCAACCAGGTGAGGTGGGGGCGGACCGTAGAGGGGGGGCAGCAGGGGGGACAGACCTGCAGGCTGCATACAAATGATCTCGGCGAGATCACTTGTACAAAACGAGCATCTGTACATTTAGCCCTGCTTGCCCGAAGCATGTAAACGCCTGCACACCGCATGTAATGGTACGTGATTTGATTACTTGTGGTTAGGAATCAATCACTATCCCTGGACACACGATCGATGCGTCCAAGGATAGTGATTGTTTTCTAACTGCATGTAATCAAATCATATATAATAATATATGCTGTAGCTTTGGCACTGTGCCAGATGACTGTAGCAATGTGTTCTTCAGTGGCAACATTTTGCTATGGGGCCCTGTGATTTCTAGTTACGCCCCTATTCTGAATCCTATACATTTAGCGGACAACTAGCAAAGGGATTTGCAGAGAGGGGTGTCGACCACGGAGCGGTTGGCGAGGTGGATGATATCCACCTTTATGGATTATAACGACATGCTTTCATCACATTCAGACAACAAACATCAGTTCTGCATTAGTTTAAACTTCAATTGCTCTCCTCATGGCACAGAGGAATGCGACCTTTACCAGAAAACGCTTGAAGCGTCCTGCGACATGGCCCAACACACAGAATACTCAATAACATAGAGCTCTGAATACAAATGACAACGTTTATTTCACGGGGGACTTTAGAACAACACTGAGGTAATTTAATGAACATGACAGGAGATGTTGCCCTGCCCCAATGGTGGTATTTAGCCTTCCCTGCGTATGAAAGGACTGTTATGGTTCAGGAGGGCCATGCCTATCACTGTTTATGCACACAGCCGCGTCCCTAGCTGCATTCGCTGACATGCACCCAGCCCATTCGCTGCACAGAGCTCATGCACTGGAATGTAGTTAGATAAACACTGCATAGTAAAATACCTCCCTTTTTATACTGCCCACAGACCGGCCAGCCAATCACAGGCCGGCTCGGTTTCAAGGCTCCCCCATCACACTGCCCTACTCTAGGAAAACAAAGCTTAATTTCCACGAAATCTTTTATTTTCCCGCCTCCGAAGATCCCAGTTTTTAATTGTCAGCCAAGCTGAAGCCCCGGGGTGCAGCTCTAATGAGGATCTCGGCGCGGAAGAGGCTGATCTAGGGAGGTTGTTTATCTATAGTATTGGGGGGACCTTGAAACAGCCGATGTCCCATTTCCTCTGTTGTTTTGCTTCTCTTTAGTCTGGATTCTCCATGTTGAACCAATTCTGAGATTTGGGTTGGGACCTGCCCGCGTATGCATGTCTAGGCTTTCATTTCCAGCGGCGTCTCCCCACACCTCCGACAGCCTAGGATTGCAGCAGGGAGAGTGAAAAGGATCTAGGGAGAGAGATCGTCGGGGCGGAGAGCTGCAGATCCGATCTGGAGAGACAAGATCAGCACTGGATCCGTGCAAGTGTTAGATGGAAAGCAGCTGTATCATCGCCCAAGTGCAGAGAGAAGAGGCGCTTGTGCACCCAAAGCAAGGTGAGAGTGCTGCCTGCCTGCCATGGCTTGTTTTCATCTACTGCACACCATTCTTTCCTCTATTTATTCTACCAGCTTTCCAAATCCATTCCTTCATCTTCTAATTAACCCTTCCGATCCAGTGGGATCTCCATCACCTGCTTTACAATGCACCATGCATGTGTCTCCCATCCCAATCGCCTATTTTTGCACCTATAGATCTAAATATTTTATTTTATTCTGTCATCGATAAATAAAAATCCATTTGCACTCCATCTGTAGAAAAGGAAAACATCTCATCACCCCCCCCCCCTTCCTATGTAGGGAGGGGTGTGTTCAGTACACATTTTAAATAATGCTCTCCGCACAAGCTGTCTCTTAATGAGGGATTTCATGGGAAACATCAGCCTGCCAATGATTTTATTGCTGTCCTGTCACTCTTTTTATTGCCATGCCCAGAATAGCCAGTCTTGTATATATTATTTATGGTTATACCAGGTCAGTGACAACAGGGCAGAAGCTTTATGGTGGCTGCTATCAGGGTGGTGACTGAGGTTAAGCAACCTGTTCAATTTGGTGTGTTGAGTGCTTTCTTTCTATTTTTCTGGTTGCCTTGCTCTTGTGTTGTCGGTTTCCTTTGCGTCATTCGTTAATGGTAATATGTTTGTAAATGTAGGTCGCATGGTATAGAACAGGGGTGGACAAATGGATATGATATTCTGGAGTCAGTCTGTCCAATCCAGGAGCCAGCAGGATTTTTGTTTAGGAGCCAGATCCATTGACAACAACTAGAGGAAGCTTCAAAAGTTAGGCGCCAGATGTCATTTTTAAGGCGCATTGACCCTTGGGATTGGCCAAGCCCTGGTATAGTAGAATGGTTACCTGGGTGGGTATGATATCCTAAGACAAAGTCCTGTTTACCTGATTTGAATATTGTAAAAACATGATGAATAATATTTATTATGATCTATTATTATACATGATTTATGTAGCACCTACAGCGCTTTACAATATAAAGGGAGACAGTACATTTACAATACAACTCAAGACGAGATGGTTAGGAGGACCGTGCTCGTGAGCTTACAATCTAAAAGGGAAGATCAAGTGATACAAGACGTGGTAATGCTTGCTTCAACCTTTTTTCAAGCTACCTCCCCAAACTGATTGCTAGGATCAATAGACAATCCTACATGGACCTGTGTATTTGATTTACATAAACAATCATGATCTGTTTTTGTCCATTGTAAAGGGAATCTTTATACATAAACAGACCACTGACACCTCTGGAGGAGCTTACAATCTAATGCCCCTACTACTTGAATATTATTATTTGCGATTTATGTAGCACCTACAGTGCTTTACAATATAAAGGGAGACAGTACATTTACAATACAACTCACGACAGGATGGTTAGGGGGATCTTGCTCGTGAGCTTACAATCTAAAAGGGAAGATCAACTGATAGAAGACGTGGTAATACTTCCACCTTTTTCAAGCTACCTCCCCAAACTGATATTTGCTAGGTTCTCATCAATAGGCAATCCTACATGGACCTGTATATTTGATTTACATAAAAAAAAAAATCACGATCTGTTTTTGCCCATTGTAATCTTTATACAGAAGAAGGCCACTGACCCCTCTGGGGGAGCTTACATTCTAATGCCCTACTACTGTCCTGTTGTGTTATTATGGCACTATACAGATGGGCTGTTTGTGGCTTTTGGGTAACCTGTAAAGCATAAATTGCAGGCTGTACATATCTGACTTGTAGACCAATAACTGCTGTGCGGAGCAAGTCATAGTTCTATAGAAGCTTGGGCATGATTTCCTGTTCTGTCCGCACTAGCTTGTTAGAGAAAACAGAAGTGTTCTCTATTATTCTTTAACTAATGCAAACAAGAATTTTCTCAGAATCACACAGGTACCTGTGTTTGTTTCGCTTCGTTTGCCCTGTTAGACGTTTATGATAACGTGACTGATGCCTTATGATAGAAGAGCAAATATGATTTTATTTCCTGCTTTCATATAATAGAGGGCATGCAGCTGGTCATACGGAATTAGGTAGATTCTAAGTTGTTTGGTGATAAGACATACAAAGGCAGTGCTAGGTACACTCATGATCTGCCAAGGGTAGACAACCAGAGCTTCCAATCAGATTTAATTTGACAGCAATCAGGGTAAAGAAAGATCATTTCTGCATGTTATTGTACCTTACTGAGTCAGCCCGATTCTTTGAACTGACAGACTGGAATGCACAAAATGGATCCTTGGCTGAAGTTTGTGCTGTGTGCGGTTTTCCTTTCGACATCAACACACTGCATCACGTTGGATAATAATTGTCTTTTTTTAGCAGTATTAAATGAATTGTGATAACAGAAGGGTTAATGTGTAAATAAGTAACATTTGTGTCTAAATGTTATTTAATGATTGATATGCTAATAGTGGCTTTCATGTGCTCTTATCCGCTGCTACTGTTTGTTCTTTAATGGCTACAGTGAACCATTTGTACTACTATTACTGGTCACTCCCACTCTGCACCTAGTGCTTTATGTGTGCTATTATTTTCTTGCTGTAGTTCCTTGATGTATCCCAGATACTGCTGTGAATGTTCCCAGATCTAAGTTTTTTTATCTATAGCCAGTAGTTCTTCAGTGGTGATGCTTCAAATATTGCATCATATTTACATGCCTCCCATCTTTATGTAGCAGAATCATGTACTAATGCTTGGGTAAGACAAGCTGAACTACTGCTACCATAATCTGCACTCTCTGCTGCTCTCTTATCAAGCAAACGGTTTCTGAATTCTGCTAAACATCAGAAGTAGAAACCCTAATACAGTGGTTCATCTATAACTATATTGCAATGAATCCTATTGTATACATTTTGGGAAACCAACCTGCTAAGCGGGAAAACCTGGATGGAAATTAGATAGAGCCGTTTAACCAGCCGGAATATAGGGGTTCTGTGCTAAGGGAAAAAAGATATAAGTTCTGTTATTCTGCAGCTTATTGGTAAAGCTGAATTCATGCACATAAAGGAACACGGTAATATCTAGACTGACCTACCGCTGTTAAACCATGGGTAAACTTCAGAGTGGGAATCAAGGGATAAATGTCATCAATGTATTCACATTTGGGGACTTTATATGAAAGTGTGTGATGTATGGCTACTGTTCCTGGATTGGACTGAGGGGGAGCCAAAGGGAGGTTGTAAGGGTGGGCTTGTTTTTGTTCTACTGTGAAGCTGTCTATACGATGAAACGTATGCTATATGTGAATCATTTGTAAAGTAGGTGTGGTTTTTTTCTGTATTATTAAACTGGATTCTATGTTCTGCTGATATGGTCTGGATGATCTCCAATTTGTAAATATGTTGACCTTAAGCCTATGCATTGAGCATAAACAGATGGAGCCTTTGTGCTCTGTGGAGATCTTGGGAAAACCTGGCTCTTTGGGAAAACCTATATCATGGGTCCATGTAGTGCACTCAGAGAAGCTGAAGATTTCGTGAAAAAAACACGGAGTAATAACCATAGTGTACAAAAATCAGACTGCTGAAAGCACCGAGCTATCATATCGAGCTACATATCGCGTCCCTTCTTCTGACCCCAAAATAAGACCACTTTTTGTTGTGGGAGCTGGATAAACTTTTATGGGAAGGACAGCATTGGTGGTCTGAGCTGACTCAGAACACATATAGCTACAAACATGATTGCTTGCTAAATCAATTTAGGTCAGGGGTAGACTAATTATGGAATCCAAGAGCCAGCAAGAGTTTTTTTAAGAGCCAGCCCCATTGACTAGACTAGAGGAAGTTAGGCTCCAGATGTAACTTTTAATGAGCTACCTGGTTCCCGGGATTTGTCCAGCCATGATTTAGGTGAATTAATAAAAGCTATACATTTATTTCTTTACCAACAAAGATTATTTCTATCTACAATGTATTTCTTTCAAATGTTTTTGTTAATGTAGTGGAGTCCTTGTTTTGGGGGTATAAGGCTCAATGCACAAAGATTTAACACAAGGATAAGGATGTAACTTTAATTCTCAAAGACTCAGCTGAAAATACCTGCACCCTTATAACTAAGGATTCTTCTCCGGGTTTGTTAGCTTTGTGAATTGAGCCTATAGTGTGTAATTATCTACTGTCATAGTGGCAGCCTTTCTGATTATCGCATCTTTCAACTGAAAGTAATAAAGTGATCATTGGTAACCAGGGACTATGTGATATTAGCTGCCAGGACTATGATCCGGTGTATCTGTGTAATAGCTCCCCTCCACCCCCCTTAATCGACATAAGAAAAAAGTCAATTTTTGTTTAATCTAGATAACAAAGTGATGTTGACATGTGCCCGGTATTTATCCAGGTGAGGTGTGAATTTTAATGATCGTCCACTTTGTTGACAGACCCCATTGAAGTAAAATATACAGAACCAAGGAAGAACGGGGATTTCCATATGCCCTTGGCTGAGACCGTCGTGTGGAATCTCCCTGTATTCGGCTGTTAATTTATATTTAGCATGTTTGATCTATGATGGCTTTGCTCCAGAACACACCTGTCTGGTAGTTTTCATTCCATTTCATTGCTGTGAATGGAACCTGTAGACGGTAATGCAGCTGTAAGGTCAGAGGCCGTCTTCTGCTGGCGCAGGAGTTAATCTTTTGTAGCATTTACAGTTACTTGTGTAGCACATGGTTTATGTTTTCATGTTATATAGGGTCTAGTCGCATGTCACCATTTTGTTGCAGAAAACCTCATGTATTGTGCTGCTTAAAAATGCAGATAGTAGAAATCCCATTCTTTCCTATGTAGTTGGTTCACATCTGTATGCTTCAGTTTAGTGGGGAAGGGGAACCATATAGGCCCATTCACGCCTACACGTGCGCATTACCATGTGTGCTGCATGCACACGGAACAATATGAATCCAGCCTTTTACATTGCAAATATTAAAATGATTACGTTTGAGATACACAAACAAGTTAGCGTGCTTTCAGAGTGCTCCAGTAAGTGAGGATCGGGCA